CGCCTGTTGTGGCGTCTGCCGGGACCGGGCTGGCCGGCAGGGCGCAGCTGGCCGACCGGGGAGCCTGCACACTTTTGGGATGTCGGTGTGGGGCACGTTTCCCAAGCACATCGCTATCGCCAAGCATATGTAGAGTTAAACTAGTGTAGACGTCACCAAATCCAAATTTTATATTTAGTTACATACTAAAGTCTACGTAAAAGGCAACATTTGTATTAAACATGGGATTATATGGGGTTGAGGGGTGCAACTCAGCGGTAGTGCAAATGTTGAGCGAGCGGGAGCCCCTGGGCTTTCATACCTAGGGTCCCTTGAGCCTAAAACATATATATGATTATATATTTTTTTGTTTTTGTTTTTGTTCGGTTTTTTGAGGCAAGGTCTCCCTTCCTAATTCAGGCTGGCCTCAAACTCACATCGATCCTCCTGCCTTAACCTCCGAGTGCTGGGATTACAGATGTGCGCCACTGCACCCGGCTCTGTATGATGATGATTTCAATGTGAAGCGGTACAGAGCACTTAGGAGAAAAAGGAGAATAAAACTGCATTTGAAAACCAGAGCAGATCAAATCACACGGAATAATGTAAATTCTCAAAAAATTTATTCAGTTTAGCTGTTACTTCCTGAAAACTTTGTAACTGCCTCACTGAAATTAGAGGTTTTAATTTTACAAACTGCATGTGCTACACAGAGGGATTCGAGGTGAATTATATATTTTTTATTAGTTTAAACATTTTATGTGTGAATATATAGTGCAGTGAAACCTCATAACCTGACAATTTCTATAATAATCATTTTCATATCATTTTCTCCATCAAATTTATAGTCCTTTATGGAGATATCCTTTAAATGAAAAGTGATTCTCATTTTGTCACTTTTTAGTTAAAAAATGTTAAAACATTTAATTATGTATTTAGCAAGCCAGGGATTATTTAGTAAACATTTGTAGACTAGGAAACAATGTGGGAGAAAAAAATAGCCCAGTCATTTTAATCTTGAGTTATTTTTAAAGTTTCAGATTATGGTGTTTAAATGAAAATCTTATCAATAATTATCAGACTTTGGCTTTCAATTAGTTATTTCTGCAGTGCCGAGGATTTAACCAAGGGTCTCGTGCATTCTAAGCAAGTATTCTACACCCCAGCATTTTTCAATTAAATTTCACAACCACAAGACTGAAAGTAGTTTGGCATAGATTTCAATTTTGAAATTGCCACCTACCACCTGTGGGTCATAAGATGAAGTATTTAAATCTTTCAGCTTCATTCTCTTCGGCTAAGAAAACGGGCATATTGTCAGGAAGTAGCCTATTTCCCACAATCAACTGAAATCAGACACACAAAGCACAGTACGGTAAATGTTAGTTTCCTTCCCTTCCACTGTCAGGGGTTCCTCTTTGGCTCAGGGTCACAGCTGGGGGAAGGGTTGGAAAGCGTGGCACACGTGAATTACTCCACACACAGCAGCCACTCCATGCTGTATGAGAAGTGTTAACAGTCATCACCCCCGCCTCCTTTGAGACCTGTCCTCCTATGGAACACTGACCCGAAAGAAAAGGTTTTACAGGTTCTCAGAGACATACACAGTTTACTTTGGACACTGAGGTGCAATCATACAATTTATTGGTTTTAGCACACTTCTACATTTATCAGTGTTCGGAGAAGGAAAGACACATGCAAAGTGATTTAAACAATCAAGAAGCCTTTAAAACGTTGTCTTCTGTAATTAGACCACAAAAAGAGACTCCACTTTTTAATAAAGCATACACACGTGTGCCCACACATCTTAATACTTAGGCTTCAGTGAATTTATTTCAAACGACAGACATTAAATATATTGAGAGAGATAACCCAGCTATTGCACAGTCCACTATACAATTTTAAACATTCAAGCAATAGGACTATGTTTTAGGGACTCAAAAGTTCTCCTCGAGCTGTCTTAGAGCTTCTTTACCAACCAAGTAAGTCTATTTAAACTTTAAAATTTCAAAGTGTTGGTATTCTTTCAAAGGCACCTTGAGGTTTGCTTCATTTTGAAGATAAAACATTTACATTATATTCTACAACTTGAACCCTTTTGGCAAGAGACTTTTCTCACAGATGATAAGATTCTCCCCAGGCCATAAAACAATATATTTGGCAGCAGGAATGTGTACCTGGATAGTCTTGCACGCTGGGCCACCGCCAAAGGCAGAGCAGCCATAGGCCCTAAAGGGCTTGCTGACCTAACTGGAGTGTGTGAACAGCCGGAAAATGTAACCGGGTTCTTCTCTCTTTTGCATGTCAATGTAGTACACAGCCCCAGAGCCAAAAGCAGTGCGACCGAATCACAGTATTTTAAATCAAAATTCAGTGTTCACAGATTAAAAGGTACTGCAGAAAGCCACTCCCATTCTTCTAATTTGAAAATCACAAAGGTCACAATGATCCATAACAAGGTGGTTAAAAGGCAAAAAAATGCATCTTTTGATACTGACTGGACAAGTAACAACAAGCACTCGAACACTTGGAGACAACTCACTGGTGACAGCTATCATGAAATCCATCCCTCTGGCTTCAGTTCTAGCATAAACATGTACCACATCCTGGACATCTGGCCCACCTGGGCTGGTTTATCAGAACTGCTACAGTTCTAGCACCTGTCTTGACTCCTTGGTGGGAGGTTTAAAAAAAATAACATTTTAAAACTGGGAAACAAGTCCAAAAAATGCTAGAAATGTTCCTATCTGAAGGCACAAAGTATAAAATTGGCAGGCATCTAGCTAGGTGATAGAACCTAACATATATAAATAGAATTTAAAACAATCAATCTGTGATTATTTTTTCCTCCCATGTTCTGGCTAATGCTGAAAATAACTTTTAGTTCCACTTAGTAACTGGATTTCTGAAAGATGAATTCTAGAATCTGCTGATGTTTCAGAAAAAATAGTCACCTTAATCATCAAAAAGATAATTACAAAGAGAACTGTTGCCCGAGACTATAGCCACCTCAAAATTTAAGTAATTTAAGGCAAGGTTCCTTAAAATATTTAGGTAGTTGAAAACCTAAACAGAATAACCAGATAATGTGCAGACACACACGTGCCAGAAAAAGGCATGACCCACAGGAATGACTGCACAGAAAGGACCGGTTGGCTAGTTGAAAAGTCTGGTTTTTCCTTCTTCCCTGTTGTTGATGTAGGCAGCACACGGCCCAACCAGAGCAGCCTCAAAGCCTAGAAATGGCTGCGCGATGAGTGATGGGAATACATTTCTCGCCTATTAATAGTTTCCACTATTAGCAGACTACCGACACTGGCAAGCAAATGCAGTCTCAGGTTTTCCTTGTTCCAGGGCAGGATTGCCTCGGGGAACTGCAACGCAGGTCACACTGCACATTTCGTTTACAATGGGCACTAACACGCAACAGGACTTTTCCAATGCTCATTAAATTCCGAATATTCCTGAGAAGGCAACCACCAAGGGCACAACAATAAATAACAGCTACGTCCACAGAGACAGACTCGACACGTGCAAAAGGCTTCCCTCGCAGTCACGTGAGTCTTAAAACCAGAGCCCAGCCCGGGCCTTCCCCATGCAGCTCCCTCAGTGCAGCCCGGCCACCTTCTACGCTAGGAGAGACACTCCAGGCGGAGGCAGGACAGGCCCCTGCCCGGTCCTCGCCGCTGGAGAGGTGCGGGGACAGCCGCCCGGAGGGGGCACCCGGTTGGCAGCGGCCCGGCCGCCGCTAGATGAAGTGGATCCAGCTCTCCTCGCACTCCCCACGCGGCATGTGCAGCGCGTGGTCGCGACACGTGAGGCTGTAATCGCGGCCACCGTTGTTGTCCCAGTACTCGGCGCCGGCCACTCGGTAGCGCACGGCGAAGTGCACCCGCGAGCCGAGCTCCAGGAGGAAGGGTGGCACGGGGAAGCCAAAGGCGAAGACGTCCTCGCTGCCCTGGGCATATATGCAGCCAATTAGAATCATATTCTCACAGGTCAAATAGTGCTTTGGAATTAAAATTGCTGCATAACATGCTTAAAATCTCAGGCTCTTGGTTCTCAGGTCATTTTGGTTTCATATTAAAGTATATCTTTATAATAAGAAAATCTTTAATTTTATTTCTGAATGAAGTACCCAGCCGCTCGGCGAAGTCGGCGGCCTCGATGGGCGGTGGGAAGTCAGGCACCAGGCAGTGCAGCGTGAACTCCAGGTCCTGGCTGCTGCAGCACAGGTCCGCGTTGATGGCGAGGCGCGACAGCACGTGCAGCGGCACCGAGGGGTCGTCGCCAGCGTTGAACACCCTCACCTGCGCCAGCTCCAAGCCCAGGG